ATTTCTACTCTCCATTTATGTTGCCCACAGTGATTAGTGGGCCATCTCAGCCTGTGCAATGAGAACAAGTCCCTAACCTGAATCCCCTGTCCTAGATGTTGACCCACCTCTGCTGTCCCATTAACCCCTTGGCTGTTTGTTGTCACCTGTATTGAGGCTATATTTATCTACATTTTATGCCTAAATCTGTACAAAGCAAAAAATCCAACACAGTTGCATGGACTCTATAATGGGGACTTTATTTTGTCACATCAAATAATCAGCTAGTTCGTGCACAAGGACAGCTGCAAATTACATTTTTAGCACAGCTGTCTGTGTTTCCAAATTGTAACACGGAAGACACTGACTTTTAAAGGAGTTAATACAGAGCAATCTTATTCTTTCTTTGAGGTTTGTGGTCATTATCTGTCTTGTTTCTCACATGTGGGTTTGCTCTGCTGGCAGTCACCTGAAACCAGGTCCCTGTGTGTACAGGACAGATCAAGAACGCAGGCATGGGGTGACTGAGGGTAGTGATGGGGGGCGGTGCCTGGAAGCAGAAGGGGCCCTCAGAGGTAAAAGAGAGGAGGACATAGAACCCCCCACTTCCTGCAGGGACCCACAGTGCTGAGAAGAAGGTCACATCTAGGTCTTATCTGAGTTTAGAGCATTTCTGCGCTTGGATCCTAGCCAGAACTTCCACAACTTCCCTTAAAATATTCAGAACTTAGACCCCCACCTTTGACGTCTCCAATTCAGACTTCCCTCAGTCTCAGTCCATGCCCAAAGGAGGTTCTACTGGTCCATATTGTGGCCCCAGTGGACAGGCCAGTATACAGCCTGCTGTGCCCCTGCCTCCTCTACTGACGAGGTAGGCCCTAGTATGTTTCTTAAGCATGCTGCCCATGCTTCATCCCATATCATCCTGGCCTCCTCCTCCCACCCACATTACAGCGGACTGGACAGAAGTGGGCAGTTCAACACAGGGCCGTCAATCTCTAGTCTGGTCAGCCATCTATGAGGTAGCTTAGAATGGAAAGTCTCAGACCAACAAGAATTTGAGTGCTGGAGAGTTTGAATTTTAGATAATGTGGGGAAATGGGTAAAAATAGAGCAGTAGAGGGCTCCTGAAGGTACGTAAGTTGGGAAGGTGCATGTACTCCAGGGTGACAAGATGGAGCATGAGTGAACCAAAGTTATGGGTTAGCCAGAAGCCAACCAGCGCCATAGAGAAGAGTCATGAGGAGGAGCAGGAGAGTGAAGACATGGGTGATCAGTCGCCCTGGGAGGGGGCAGAAGGCCCCGCCTGCTGAGGAGGGGAAGGACCCAGTCTGCAGTCCCACTGTTCACTGGACTCCCCAATCCCCAAATTGCACTCCGGGATCCCTGAGGCTGGACTGAGGGGATCCTATACCTAGGCTGCTGCAAGAATTTGAATTTCATACTCCCATCTATGTCCTTACAAGAAGACCCCATCATTGATGAGACAATTTTGCATGGAAGATTCTGAGGAGAAAGAGAAAACAATCCCTAGGCCATGCAGATGGATTTTCTGCAGGACAATATGGTCTCCTTCTCAGCGATGCAAAGATTTTGCTGGATAAATCTCAGAGCAGGTGCTTCAATAATGCTTCAATTATGTAAGAGAAAGCCTCTTGGTCTTGGGGACCTGAACACCCTAAGAGAAGCAAAACTGTTTCCAAATAAGTTACTCCTTTTGGCCATCATCCTCAGGTGGAGGCTTGAGGTGGTGGGAGAGCAGGAGAATGAAGGAAGGCACTTACCCCAGTCTGACAGCCCCCACCTCCCTACCATACTCAGAATCCAGGGGATGCTGCTGGAGATGGTGGGAGAGTTGCTAAGTGAATTTTGAAAAAGCTCCCTAGACCAAGTTTTCTTCAACTTGAATGTGCCCAGAAATCTCACAAATATCTGAAGATTGCAGATTTCCTTTCACTGTGTCTGGGCAGGTGAAAGTCTGCATTTCTAACAAGCTGCCTAAAATGCTGATGCCGCTGGTCTGGGGACCATGCTCAGAGGAGGAGATTGTGATGGGACCCTTGTTGCCTGAGCAGTGACGAGTCACTCTGCCTCACATCATGTCATTAGTGCTCCTTAAAATACATGCATGAATCATGGCCTCTGAGACTCTCAGAGCCATTTCATGTCATCTGATAGGGAATGTAAATGAACCAGCTCTCAATCCCTTTAGTAAAGAGGAAGATACTTAAAAATTCATCCCTAAATTTCAAACCATTAAGATACTGACGTCAGTAATTTTTTTCTCAGCAAATTTGTAGCTTTTTAGCTAGAAGAATGGACAGGTTGGAGGGGCTGGGCAGAAAGATTGGAGAATCATCAGGGAATTCCAGCTGGTAGACTTGTTTCATGAATAAAACTTTAATGATCCACAGTGAGGAAAAGGGGAAGCATCCAGAGCTAGGCACATCGTTGGGAAACAGGCCCTACTTCAGATTAGGGGTGTAACACTTCAATGCCTCTCCCTCACACCAACCAATCAAATCTGCTTTATAAAAGGAGGAGGTGCAGTGTCTGTTGTAGGTGGGCAGACTTACTGGTTGTTTCAAAAATCTCTTAAAAGCCTTCAGCTGAGGTTACTGTGCTCATGTCTAGGGGCAGGCCATCAGGGGAGGTCAGAGCATTCCACACTGTTGACCTCATAAACGTAGGTAAGGACTCCTCTTGAGGTATGACAGCCCATTTACAAGATCACTGCCCTTGAAAGAGGATAAAACTCAAGGACATCTAGGTCTGGTTCAATCTCAAAGTAAAACAGGACCCCTGACCATGATTTTCCGGATTGCCAGCCATCCACCCACCACCCTGAGCCCACCACCTTTTGTGATAAAACCTGGGAAGCTACACAAGCCAGAAACACTGCCTAGGCATTGTCAAAGCTCTAGTCATTTCCCTAAAGGTGGTGAGATCATCTTTGGGTCAGCTGCTGGCCCTTCAGGTAGTGAACACTGACCTTGGCACCTCGAAGATATGAGACAATTCTCTGATTACTGGTCTCAGTGCCCTGGGGGACAAACTCTTTCTGGTCTGCCTGGGACTTTTCTGGTGTCAAAAGTAAATGTCCCAGTCACCAGCAAAGCAGGACGGTCGGCCACTTTTCAGACTAGTGAGGTCTGGGTGGTCCTGACTAGTGAGTAATGTGGGAAGATATGAAAGGAACAGAAGAGGCCCAAGGAAACGGGAAGATGGAATTTCCCTGGATCCTTACAGTGATTTAGGAATTGGGATTTATTCATAAGGATATTAAAGAAAAAGGTGTTTGAGGAGGGGCTTGAGAGTTAAGACTAATTAGGAAGCTTGTCTTATAACTGGCTGACTTGCAGCTGGGAGGGGTTTTATTTTAATGACCTCACTACCCCTCTTCCAACATAATTGAAATGAGAAAGGGACACATGATACTTTGTGCTTGTGTGGTAGATGAGAGCTTGACCATCAACTCCAATACACTTCTGAAGATGAGGCCAATGGGAAATCATGTAACCCATGGCCTTAAAATCACAGGTACTAAAATCCTAATACCAAACCAAACCTTACTAGTGATAGGACAAGTCTGGTTTTTGGAGCTCTGACTTTGGCGTCCATTTTAACCAAGCAGGATTAATTCATGACCTAGGAGCTCTGCGAGCTTATGTTTGTTTATAATATTCAATGTTCCCATAAGCGCAAATGTTCCAAATGGAAGGCTGCATTTTGGTAATGCCCATTTCTTCATTAACATTTCATCATCCACCTACATTAAGAAGCCTCTGCCCACACTCTGTTGCCTGTGCTTTCACCTTGTTCATTCCTGCCTTATTTGCTTACTCTTGAGAGCCTGGCTTCCCAGGCACTGTCAAATTTAAAACAAGCAAACTTTGCACATTAGTGTGTCCTGGGCATGCATGATTTATAAATGGCAGGTTTCTTGGCACAATTTAATGGTATAAGAGAGATTTTGTTTTAAACATTAAAGTGAACATCAAGAAGTGGCAATGATGGGTGGGATATTAGAGCAAATAGTGTATAAAGAAGTTTGGGTCAGGAGTTAACCAGTTCTTACTTGGTCTATTTCTTAATCTGTGGACTGATGCTCTGACCGATTCAATAGGTCATTAAGAGCTCTGACATTCGACCAACCCCAAAAGTGTTTTCAATTGCTATTCTGATAAGTCAACCAAAGTCTCACTCTGGAAAAAAAAGAAATTTTAACTGCTAACATTTGCCTCAATAGAGAAAACCAACATCTTGGATCAGTCCAAACACAAATTTGTTTTCTAAAGAGGTTAGTCATCCTAATCATATTCAGGCCATTCTCCACCATAAAATTCTTCCTCTAACAGAGTCTTTTGTAAATTAATCTATCAATCAGTGTTAGCAAGCCTTTTAAAGAAAAGTCAAAACTTTCATGGTCTCAGGAGAACTACCAGTTCTGAGTAAGATCAGAGTCCCACTCTTGTTATATAATGCCCATGTAATATAAAGGCTCAGGAAATGAGTCTTTTTTGTCATCACAAAATATGACCTCAAATAATATAATTTCTGTTTAATAATTATAACTAAAAATAATAATTAAATTTATTCCAAATGATACCTTATATTTGAGATGCTTCAACCACATCACACACAAATAAACAATATCTCAACTTTCTTCACAGAAGCAAAATTGAAGAGCTCATAAGATTACATCCTACGTCCTCCAGCAACACCACAGTCATTTTACATGTAGGTTTTTGATGCACTGTGCAATGATTGCTCATAAACGCTTCCAGAAGACCTTGAAAGTTCCAAATCAATGTTAGAAAATGAGGATTGATAAAACCTTTGGCTTGAGTAAGCTCAAGGATTCACAGACAACCTGGAACTTTGCTTCCTACACAAGCCTTCCATATTCCTTGTGGTGGAAGCAACTCCGAGCCACCGTCACCATTTAGGACACTTATCCATTTCAGAGAACACTAGCCAGTAGACAGAGCCCTACGTGACACACAGACACAATGGGTTACCTTGTAGGTTTTGCAATGGCAGGGTCATAATGCCTCCGGCTGCAGCTGCTGCTACCAGCCCTTGGATGTTGGTGAGATTCGCGGTAGGCAGTGTGAGAACCAGCCCCTGCTGCCCTCCTAGCTGTCCGGCCATGTTGAAGGGGATGAGGATAGGCTGGTTGAGGGCTGGCGTGCCTCCTGGCATCACGCCTGCAACAGTGGATGCTAACTGCTGGGCTGTCAGAAGTGGCTACAAGGAAACAGATAATCCTAGTTCACTTTCCAGAGAAATCATTGGCCTTCAGAGCATTTTTTTCTGCTGTAGCAGGGGCAGAAAGTTCCTGAACAAGTAGCAAAGAAACATGCTCTATTTGAGAAAAAGAAGATGGACCAGAAAAATAATAATAATTATAATAATAATAACTGAAATCACACTTTATTTCTTTGGAAAATTTCATTTGGTTTGATTCCCTCTTGAGGGGCTCAAATACCTTTAAAAGTAATACCTTACACTTAAAAGGTTTCATCAAATGAATTTTCATTTGGTTATACCCTTACATATGAAACTGTCTGCTAATTTATTCTGTGTTAGCTTACTGGGATCAATAGATTTTTTTTTTTTGGTTCAGAAGTAGCAATAAAATGTTGTTTTCATTTATTGAACTAGCAAAAATAATGTAAAAGATTTATACCATGCTGGTAGGTTTGCAGTGACACCATATGCAGATTTAGGACATGTACACTATCATAAGCCATTTAGAAATTTATATTAAGAGCTGCAAAAATATTCACCCCCTTTTGACTCAGAATATACTCCTGGGATATAACATGAAGATATAATTCATAAATAAAAAAAGGAAATGCATGAAAATATTCATTAGATTTTAAAATATGTAAACTTTGAAAAATGGTTTGTTACAAACAAAGAAAACCGAAATAGATTTTATAGTCCTTGATCCAGGACTTCCATTGCCATACCCTTACAGGAGCCCTGGGAAATGTAACCCCTTCACCATTTTTCTAAAGGGCCCAATACAAAACTTTTACTGAGGGATTTCAATTTTTTTTGTTTTCAAAGCAGCATGGGTCTACAAAGTAAAGGTAATTAAATACAGGCATAGGACAAAGCCCAATATGTAAGAGCCAGGCCCTATTTTAATGTTGCTGCATGTGCCTTTGCCTTACTCAGGTATCCTACCAATGAGATACAGAGAAGTTGGGGACCTGCCCAAAGTCCCGTATCTAGTGGGGGAGGGGGACTCAAGTCCAGTCAGGCTGCCCCAGAACCCACTGTCACCCCTTTCTCGCCACACCCTCTCAACATACAGGACAGACATAGAGAAGTTGACTTCTCCATTTGAGGCCCAGGGGGAGGAGGGCTGTCCACTCCCTGCAGTCATGCCTCCACGCCCCTTCCAGGGAGCCCTCTGGAGAAGCCCTGGGGTTCCATGCAGTCTAATTTTAGACCACTGCCCCAGACCCCATGGGCCTCGCTCTTATTGTACTTGCTGGACTTTACTAAAGGCCTGCAACATAACTGCCTCTCTTTAAAAAGGAAAATAATATAGTTTCTCTAAAGCACAAAATAGACATTTTTTAGGAAAAAGTACAAAATTATAAACTGGTCCTCAGATTGCTGGTGCACTGTCACGGTGGATAGTAATCTCATGATAAGAGAGAGGAGGCAAATGGTAGTCCTCAGATTGTACACAGGCCACAGATTTGGGGTTTGGGGCGGGTGGCATTTAAAAAAATTGATTTCTCAGCTTAAAGCAGGATGTGCACTCTCCAGCTCATCACAGCACCTGCCACTCTCACGGTCTGGGTCTGTCGCGCTACTCACCTCGCCTGGAGGTATCAGAGTCTGTCACCCCGGGTATGTTCACACACATGCACACAGCTTCACAAGCGTGACGTGAGAAAGGGAATGGCCGGAGGAGGGCTGTTTCTGAGATGCCCACTAAAACTCTTGCTAAGCTTTGGCAAGACAGCAGACGTCTCCGTGGGCTTTCTTGCCCTCAGCACAGAGGCTTCTGTGCCCTGAGGTGGATGTTGGGATCTGAGGCCATTGTGAGACTTAGTGGCTGCTGGGCCAAGAAAGTCAAGACCAACCTAAGCTCTCAACTTGGGTCCTCAAGCCCAGTGAGCCCTCAGAGTGCCGGAAGTGAGGAATTTCTCCGAACAGCAATGACAGCAAAAGAGAGAGAAAGGCTCAAGGATCAACTTCTTTTTCCATAAAAGCAGGACAAGCTCTGAGAGCTGCACACGAAGTGACAGAGGTGAAAAAAAAACCCTGACAAAATAACAACGCAGCCTTTTATAATTGTGTTCTACATCTCCATATAACCACACCAGGCTGCAAAAACAAATATTGGACTTTAAAAAATAATGAATGTATTTCTTTATTAATGCAGGAGCTGCATGTGATGTACAGTATTGTCAAACCCAATAAGCTGAACTTGCATTAAAATTGCATTAACTTTTTTATATTAAATCACATCTTGTGATTTCAAAAATGGCTATAGTAAGGTTGAAATAACTTAATTTTCTTCACACTCTAGTCATTAAAGTTTTACTTTCTAGGAAACTGCATAGTAATGAAGAGCACAGTTGTCGTGGGGTTTAAGAAAAATAGTTTCCAAATGATTAAAGCCAACATTTCCTTCAAAAAGAGAGGAGTTCCGTGAACACATTTTTTTCTTAATGGTATTTAAAAAATAATGTAATCATACAGTTTCCCATGCAAAAAATTTATCACCATCTTGGCTCTGTTGGAGTTAATTGGATTTAACTCATTATTATTTATTTGGTTATTTATACGGTTAAGCCATCCTAAGTGCAGCCAAAAGGAAAGCATGGAGAGGTACTGACCTGTGGCCCAACCGGGAATGGGGGGTGGGTCTGACTGGCCTGGTGTTGGTCAGGAGTGCCTGGGTCTGAGTGTGCCGGGTTTCCTCTGGCCCCTGGAATTCAAAAGAGAAGCGCTCCCTTAATATAGGATCCAGCAGGGGAACTGCACATGACCCCACTCTCCTGTGATGTCACATAACATTAAGGCACAGATGACAGGCTGGAGTGGTTTATCAATAGCTCCAGTGCTCAAGTCACTTGTCAACTGCATAAATTATGCTAACAGACATTCAGGATGGCCAAAGTCATCGCAGGAGGGAGAAAGCTAGGACAGTGGGGAAACTGACACTAACGCCAGTGGCGCTAACAGGCTTGCATTAGACATCAGCTTGCATGGGGTGCACCAATGCGTCACGTGTGTGGCGAACTGCAGCCTTTATGCATAGGCAGATGACTGCAATCTAATTTCCCAAAGCCAGAGAAAGCGTGATCTCAGACATGACCAAGTACATCTCTATTATCCCTTAATACAGTTTCATACCCGTAAGCCCTTTCTCCATACACGTTTCAGACACTGACTCTTATGAATGTGTTTTCCTAAAAACAAAGCCTTTTTCAATGTCACCTTATTTGATGCCCTAAAAAGCACAAGGATCTCCTTAAGCAGACTTGCTGGGTGCTAACCAGAACAGTAGGAAGCCCGAGCTAACTCCTGGGGGTCCCGCTGTGCTAGGCAGAGAACACAGGGTCCTTTCCTGGCTGGCATCCTGCTGGATGCCGAAGCACGGCAAGTGAATTTCTACCAAGACAGAGAGTCTTTCAAACCTTCTTCAACATTATAGTTTCTGTGTGTGTGCTTACTTCAGGGGAAACTGTAGCAGGTAAGACAGTGGCAGTAACAGTAAATACAGGAATAAATAAACAAATAAATGAGGTTAGCAGTAGTTTTTGAGGGTTTTTTGCTGGTAGCTTTTTTCTGGGCAGTTGAAATCCAATTCCAAGCCATCCTTCACAAGACCCTCTTCCTTGGTGTCTGTCCCATGAACAGCAAGTGGAAGATGGTTCAAACCCTGTTTACTGCCATGCCATGGGTGGCCAAGAAAAAAAAAGATATGATTCTGTCACACTTACAAATTTTAAAGAAGGTATTATTAGCTCATTTAAGACAAATTCTTCTATCTCTTCTCCAAAGGGACACACTTATAAATAATGGAAATGTGGAAAAAAATACTTCAGCACATTAAGCTACAAATAAAATTGACTGCTACATATTATTCAATTGAATTCTATCTCCACTTAGAGGTGTCAATCATAATAGCATTTTATAATAGGATTAAGCAATAAATGTGCAAAGCCATTATGCAGAAATCTGAAAATCTGATTAATTTGTAATATTTTTTTGTGTAGAAAGTCAGGAATGGATGTTGCTTGGGGAATACTTACAAGCGTTCTATTGAAATTTCTGAATTGATTTGGAACAAACTAATAAAAACACAGACTTGCTGACATTTTATAAAGTGAATTCTGTCAAAATATGTTTGGCTTTTAATGATTGCTGTCATTTAATAACAAGGGTGAGATGACCCATCATAAGACGCCAACCATTTCCCTACAGTGTGCAGGACATCTTCCTTCTAAATTTTTTATATGTCATTTATTTATTTTACTTAAGGAGCAGGGCACTTTAAACTGGGAGGTATGCTGGGCAGTATAAATCATAAGTTTCTGGTCTTATGTACTCAAGCCCTATTTTGCCTTAAAGTTCTCAGCAGAGCATTATGCACTTTTACAGAGCTAACCAGGTCCCGAAGTGATGCTTTTGGTCAATTAGGTAAATTCTTAAATGGCTAAAAATGCAATTTGGGTTAGTTTTTAACGATGTTTGAAAAAATCCAGTAGCTTCCCCAAACCCCCAGACATGAATTTTTATACCAGACTGTGAAAAGGGAGTTTTACAATGCACAGAAAAAGGGGAAAATCCTTTTACACAATTAAAAAAAACATACCATATTTGTTTCATGTGTACGAGGCATACTTTTTGACCCTGTTCCTAATGATGTACCATTGTAAGGCTTAGGACCTGCCCTCTTCAGGCACTGTGTCAACACCACTGTGTGTGTGTTATCCGTAACTTTACACCAAAAACATTTGCTTATATTTTATTATTCTTTGTTGCTGGAAGTCCTCACTGTTACATAGCAGCTTGTTTTGAGGCTGGTTGTTCTCAAAAACCATGTTCAGTGCAGTACAGGGCAATTTCACTCAATTTTATGTGTAAAATGATGTCTTTTACAGGCTTTAGAGGAGATTATGTATGCTCTCCTGCCTGGATCAAAAAGCAATGTTTCTCCTTAATGCGCATCTCCATTTTCCCCATACACATGTATCATGCTTAACCTTGTAGGACCATAAGCTAATCTGTCTGGTCGTAAGGCAGCTCCCAAATCAGGGGCCTTCTCAAAACCAGTGGGGCAATCCAGCAGTCAGAATGAATAAAGGATGTTGGCTAAGGCTTTCAGAGAGATTTGAGGCAGCACTGAGCTGCGCATTAGAAGAGAACTGTGGGAGCTGTTTCCATGGGCACAGACATGAAAACACCAGCTCAAATCAGTTGGTCAGGTTCCTCCTGCTTGGGATCCTAGGAAACACGTTACCTCGCTGGAGACGGAGGATGTGTGGAAAGCTCTCTGTGGCCTGTTCTGAATTTAATAATCTGCACTTTCAGGCAGGTGCTGTGGGCTCCAGTAGAGCAGAGCCTGTGCTGCTCCTTGACTCATCACTACATCCCCAGCCCCTAATGTGGGAATTTCATTGACATTGATTGAATATTCACTCAATAGAAACAGAAGTTTGGATTTTAATCTGGGTGGTATAATTCCCTTAAAATAGGTACTGACATCCACTTGACTATTTACTATTGTTTATGTAATCCTTGGAGGAATCTTTAAATTATTAGCTTATTGGCAAATTCTGTCTCCATTCCATTAAAAATATTAAAAACGGTTTGGTGTACAGGTTAAAAGCAAGGACTCTTTTAAATCTTAAACTCTGCGTGTGTTTAAATTTAACTCTGCCACTTAACTTGGTATGTGAACTTGGGCTTGTTTTCCAATTTACATGCAGCAGCCTTTTCTTGTAAAAGCCCAGGATAATAACAGTGCCTCCCTCAAAAATGTGCTGTTGTGAGGATTGAATGAGCAAATATATTTGTAAATTTCTTGGGACAGTGCATGCTTGTCACAGGAGTATTAATTCTGTTGATTATTACTATTTAATAAGATTCAATTTGCATTTAGTATATGTAACATTATTTAATCTACCCTTCATACTCACCTGCCCCAAGTCCACTCCACCCATAAGTGAATTGTGTGCATTCCCTCACACACCACCATCACTGTGTACTCTGCACCATTTGATAAATGTTTGGGACTGAACTTTAAGAGCCTCCAAAACTAGAAGTTTACATATAATGCTTCTTTTAGTCTGCAGAAGCATGATCAGGAAATATGGCACACAGATCCTGGCAAATAGCTTCCAACCTCACACACCATGCTTAGACCAGTGGCTCTTACTTAGGCCTGAGGATCAGAATTGTTTGTGGAGTTTCTTGAACACACAAAGGTTCGCAGCCCTCACGAGGCTACTGACAGAGCAACTAACAGGTGACTCAGGTGTGTGTTTTATAAAACTCCCCCAGCGATTGCAGGCCACATGGAGAAAACAGTGGCACAGAGGTTGCCCAGGCAAGTCTGGGTCCCCCAGCGCTGAGGACGCCATGCAGTTAGTTTTATGAGTAGTGGGTGGGTCACCAGCCAGTACTCCCTCCTTGGGCCCCTGCCAGCTTCCTCCCCTACAGCACTTTTCCACACAATCCCTTAGGAAGGAGAAGTTTCCCTTATAATCCTGGTTGACTTCCAGTTTAGAAAGGGGAATAACCACCTCAGATTCACCTATTTTATAATTATGATTTGTTCACAGGTAATTTGTTCAAAGAGTGTAAAAAAATGATTTTAAAGGGATCATAATACGAATTTTAAAATAGCTATCCACTAGGAGTCAATTCTCTGCGACTATAAGGACTCCTGGGGTTAAGTGTATTAAGGAAAAGACAGCCCATAAATGGTGAAGACACCAAAAAGTGATTAGGAGTTTAAAAATAAGAAACAATTCATTTCTAATTGCTAGAATGCCTGCTTGTCAGAGCATTGGTCCATTCCACACCGTCTTTCCAGTGCTGATTTCGAATCTGAAGCTTGCAGCACTGCCTGCAGCTCTCTCTGCTTTGGGGACACTGGACTGCGTCGGAAGGGGAGGGGCGCCCCAGGCCCTCCCCTCTAGTGCCTCCTCAGGAGACAGTCTAGCAAATTCCACCCTCCCCTCCCCACTCAAGGTCTGAGTTCCTAAATGACCATCCTTGTGTTCCTCATAGCAAGTTAGTTTTTCTTTTGCAAATTCTTTTTTTAAAAAAATAACCCATTTTCATTAACTAAGGCAAACCAGTCTGGCACCTCTTAGTTACTCTAAAAGTAAAATAGAGGTGCACTGCAGTATGGCGAGGTAAATATCCCCAACCTCTGCTCCATGGAGTTGACTTTTCCAAACAAGTCACTTTAAAGAATAAATATAACACTTTTAATCCTGAGAGGGTATACTACTTTCTGGGGCCTTACCCTATTACTGCTGTGAAGGGGATGCCATGGCCAGGGCAGATGGAGATGGCAACAGAGGAGCACATATGGATGGCTCATCCCTGATAGGCCCCGTTCACTTTATTCCATGTCCGCCATCCCTCCACATTCGGTGCCGAAGATTCCCTTGTTAACGACCAATGCATTTCTAATGTATCAGGTTCTTCAGAGAGTGAGTTAGAGGGCTTTCTGTCCTCTATGCATTAGCACAAACATAATCACATGAAGGTCACCGGGATCCCTCAACTTCTTCTGGTATTCATACATTTCTAACTCACTGTTTGCAGTTTTTCACCAGTGTGTGAGGCAATGCAAAGGTTGCTTATTATAAGTTGGACAGTCAATGCATTATTATTTCATGTTGGGAATGTGAACCCAGCTAAGTGGGGCACAAGACCCCTCTAAATTAAACTTCTCTTTCTTTC